TTACCCAGATCTTGATGTTCTCCACCTTGCATCTACGTCGTATATATGTACTTCTAGCTCTGTCCCATAGTGTTTTAACATCAATTTCTTCAAGTGTTTTCATCTCTGCTGTTTCTAACATCCCTTTTGTCCTTTCTGTGTCAGGTCGTGTTTCTGCCGCATATGTCATTATTGGTCTGATGACTGTTTTGTAAATTCTGCCTTTCATTTCAGTTCCAATATTTTTGTTTCTCCATATTGTTTCATTCAAACCTGCTGCTCTGTTTGCTCTATCCACTTCAGTTTTGAACTTTCCGTAGCTAGATAATGTGATGCCTAGATATTTAAACTTATTCTAGTATCTAACCTTCCAGCTCTAATTTACATCTTTCACTTTGAGAGAGTGGTATTGCGTCGTCTGCATAGCAGATTATTTTAAGTTGTTTTTCTTCCATTTGGTATCCTTTTTTAGTCCTCATTCTTTTTATTAGTTGATCCATAATCAAGTTGAACAATAGAGGACTCAGGGAATCTTCCTGTCTTATCCCATTGCCAACTTCAATAGGGTCGGTTGGTTCTTCTACTACTTTTACTTTTATTGTGTTGTTTTGGTCGATATTTTTCGACCGGTTTGATTATTCCTAGGGGTATCTCTCTTGCGTACAATAAGTGGATAACGTCCTTTAATTTGACCCAATAAAGCATGATATTCCCTACCTAAACTCTTGTTCTTCTAGTGTTATAATTTGATTCAGTTTATTTGTTTTTTTTTCATTCATTTTATTTGTGTTTAATAAATTAATTCCTCTGTAATTTTCCGGGTCCAATTTGTTTCCCTTTTTGAAGAGAGGTATTGGGATGGTTGATCTCCATTCTTGAGGAATTCTGTTTTGTTCTTTGAATTATTTTTTGAATTAGTTTTAATAGTTGTTTGGTCAGATCTGGTCCTCCATACTTTAGGAGTTCGTTCGTTATTCTGTCTTCCTGATGATTTTCTATTTTTTATATTTCCTTAATGCTTCCTTTATCTCTTCCTCCTCAATATTTATTTCTTCGTTTGTCGTCACCTCTGTTGTTGGTAGTTCATTATGTCACCTTTAGCAAATAGGGATTGAAACTAGTGTACCCATGCTTCCTTCTGAATGTGTTTCATTTTTATTAGTTCATTTATCTCTTTTCTTTGTCCTCTGATCATTCTCCATATTTCTTTTTGTGTTCCCTAGAAGTCGTGTTCCATCTGTTTTGAGAACAGTGTTCCATTTTTATTCGTCTAACTAAAGTATTTCTGACTCGTTTATAGTGGTTATACGCTTGTTGTGTGTGTTGTAATTGTATTGTAAAACGGATTTCTTCTTTTCTTCACTCCCTTTCTAAACCATGGTGTTTTCTTTTTTGATATGTTAGATCAAAGCTTTTGGGGGATATTTTTGGTAAATTCTTTAAACGGACTAGGCGGTTTATTTAAATATTTGCAAACAAAACGTAAAAGTACAGAATTTTACCTGACCGTACGGGAAATTTATCAGCTCCTAAGCGGTAACTTTTTTTTTTATTATTGAAATTAACGTGTCTCGATATCTATGGCCATTGACACGGGTACAAAAACGTCTGGAGTATTACATTATACATATAAGATTATTACATTATATAAGATAAATACAGTAGGTTACATTAGATTTGGAAAAATATAGTGTTACAATTTAATCTGCAATCTTTTAAGCACTGCACACATTTGGCGAACTAAGTATCTGTTTCAGGTTACCGTTTATATTATGCGCTAGTCTATATAGTCTGTAATAGCTGCACTCAACGAGGAAGTGTTCTACTGTAGGTGAGTAGGTGAGAATCACAATATTCACAAGCAGGTGGGTTTTCGAAAGTCATCAGATATCCGTGAGTGAAGAGAGTGTGTCCTATTCGGAGTCTTCGAATGATGAGTTTGTCCCTCCTAGTCATTGTAGATATCTTAAATGAGTGTGTTTATGTACATATTTGTGTTTTGTCCATTCCAATGATTTTGCCATGTTTTACAGAGTGTTTTGTTTTATGGTTGCTGCTAGATCTTGCGTAGGTCAGAACAACTTGCTTTTCTTGCTGCGATATCTGCAGACTCATTTCCACTGATCCCTATATGAGATGGATTCCAACGAATGGTTATTGAAGTTTCTCTGCTGTGGTTTTGATGACAGATGTCTTGAATTTAAAAATGTGGAACGCTTCACGATTTTGCGTGTCATTCTTGCGCAGGGGCTATACTAATCTTCCCTGTATCGTTCCAATTTTAGTATATGTATCTCCGCAGCGAGTACGGTAACTTAAAACGTTGATTTATAAGGAAATATTAGCGGCGTAAAATATTTCCTTTACAAATTTTGATATATAATTATAGTTTATTTTTATGAACGAGAGAGTAATTAGCATAATTTTAACTGGTACCCTCCGACCACTCCATGGGAGTGCTCAAGATCAATTGAAAAATTACTTTGAATAATTGTAAAAAATAAATGAATTATTTCAGTGTTATAAAGTGTTATGTGTATGTAAACAAAAGTGACCTCTTTTATCACACACTATATTAGAACTGACTGGCCTACATTAAAAAGGGTTTTAAAAAATTCACATTTTTTTTAATTTTTAAAAATTACAAAAGAGAAAAAGAGTTTTTAAAACCGTCTAAGGTATGTTAAATAGGTGAATAAAAATATTAATATAAAACTTACAGCTACTTGTTACAAATCCAAATCAGATTCAGAAGATGAACTTTCAGAACCAAGATTTATAATAACTGGCTCGATCATTTTATCAGTAATATTGTCCAGCTTCCACATTTTTCCTCTTCTTTAATAGTGTGATTTACTGCCTTTTCCCAGTTTTCAGGTTTTACATTATTTACGGCCTCCAAAAACAACTGTTTAACATCATGAATTTTAAAAGTGGTATTTTTTCTTGAAACTTCACTCTTTATCTGTGCCCATACCAGTTCAATCGGGTTTAATTCACAATGATATGGTGGTGATCTAAGTACTGTCATTCCACGATTTTTGGCAATTTCATCAATTTCGTATTTTTAAAATTTTTCTTTATGAAGGGCACACAACGAATAAAGTTCCTTTCTTATAGATCCGGGATGGTACGTAATATTTTTTGAACTCAGCCAATTCTGCAAGTCTTTTTTTAACCACTTGGTTGTGGGCAGTCCTTCTATAAGTCTGGAGTGATAACTTGCATTATCCATTACTATTACACAGTTCTTAGGAAGAAGATCTATCATTTGTTCGAACCATTCTTGAAAGACATCAGCGTTCATGCCTTCATGGTAGTCACCGGTACGAGTTGATTCAAAAGTTAATAAACCACCCTCAACAAAACCGTCTGAACTGCCAATGTGTACTATTATCAGTCCTGCGTCCCTTTCCTGATGGTGGGTTTAAACCAGTAGATAAGTTATTTACAAAAGCGTGCCTTTGACTTGTAACAGTTTCAATCCTGCCAAAATTTATTTGGTGTATGACCCTCGTTGATCCATGTTTCATCAAGATAAAATATTTTTTCTTTTTTGGTTTCTCATTTCCTTTATGGTTCTTAGAAAATGTCTTCTCCATATGACAATATCGCTTCTTTCTAATAAAATAGACTTTCTGGGATTCTTTTTCCAGCGGAAGCCTATTTCTTTTAAAAGTTTCCATAACGTACTTCGACTCATTTCTGGGTAATCCTTATCATCTCGAACTGAGACAAGAACTTTATCCAATGTTGGAAATTCTTGTCTAAAGAAGAATTCATGCACTTTCCGTCAAAGTCCTTCTTTAAAATGATATCTATTTGAAATTTTGGTTTCCCTGGAGCATTACGTGGCATTTGAAAACTACCACATTTCTCTTCTTTAATAACTCTGTAAATCGTAGATTTTCCCAACACCAAGTGTACTGCTAACTAACTCAACGGTCTCATGAACACTTCACATAAACGTTTGTCTGTAGATGATTTAAAACAATTAAATATTCATGTTTTTTCATTAACTGTTAAAGGACCAATTTTTCGGCGTTTACACGGCACTTCCAAATTTTCCATAACACTAGTATACACAATAAACTGCACCTTGCAACTGAAGTACCTACTTTTAGTGAACTATTTAAGAATTTTTGAATACGCCACTTGGACCTTCCTACAAAATGGAAAAAACCCACTATCACATTTTCTGTGGAATAAGTTTAGAAGGTAATTATCTAGTCAATTACTGTCGTAGATTCCTAGAATTAAAGAATTAAATGTTTGATTGTTGAAACCTTTACTTCGTGGAATGCACTCATTTCAGATAAAATATAACATTTTATTTTATCTAAAGAATTAAACTTTATTTTGCAAATAGGTAGGTACTTATTAAACTTTTATTGGTTATATATAACCAATAAAATAAACATCTTACATTTCTTGCAAATTCATTAGTACCTGTTAACCTCCATCACTCCGACACTGGCAACCTTATTTAGGGATTAGTAACCCTCACAACTATTGTATTCTATTCTGCTCCAACCTTTATACCTGGTGGTCATACTCAATTTAAAATTGTTTTCCTATATACTTCTGTAAACTTGTTGACAAATATCTGTTTTTTCATTGAGTCACCCGTATCAACAGTTTTAGGGATTTGCATACATAATTTATTATTTTTATTACTCTCTCATACATAAAAATACACTAGAAATGTATGTACTATGTTTTTATTAAATATAATAAAATAAACGAAAATTGGACAAGATATTATAACTAGGAACTTTTGTATAGTATAACAATAAAATATACTGCAATAATAAAAAAATTATAAAAACTGGTTTTAAAAAATTACAAAACACAAAATCTGAAAGCATAGAAAACAAAACATTGTGGAAAAAATAATTTACTGCTTTTTATTTCTATCAGGTGTCGAAATATCGTGTAATAATTATACAAAAGTACGTTACACTTTTCAAAAAATGTAGTTACATTAAAATAATATTATAAGCTCATTTATTTCTTTTCAGGCCTTCGGCGTGGAAATAATATTAACCATTATTTTGGTGATAGCCAATTGCTCCAGTTGGGATAAAAGGAATTCCCACAAATCCGATTCTGTTCCAATAAAAATCGGATTGGTAGTTGTGGCGCTAAACGTATCTGCGGTAAGTATATATTTTTTATGACAGCTTCAAGAAAATGGAATGGTGTAGAAAGATCAAAATGGTAAAACGTACTGTTTCTAGTTATTTCTCTGTGTGTGAGTAAGGTTACCATTGAAATAATCCATTTGCCACAGCTTGATTTTTAACATTAGAGATTTTATATATCCATATTTGCTTTGAATTTACATTTTAAAAGACTTCCTTTGTTCAGGCATTTGGTACTATTGCAATTTTTAAAGGTATAAGGATTACTAAACTGTTAAGTTTAGTGATTCAATAAGAAGATTAACCACATTTTTGCGGTTGTCACATTGAACTGTATTCTTGGATGTCTTCTTCTTCTTCTAATTGTATCTAGTTTTTATTTAAGAATGCTTCTTGTTTTAACTTATTAAACTGTTTATTCGGGCTGTTGGGCCGTTGTCTTTTGTTGAGATTAGTTCTCGACGTTTCGCCAACACTAGGGGTTGGCATCTTCTGGAGATGTTGATGCTTCGCTTGTAAGCAGAAACTGACGACGCGTTGTACTACGGAGGCAATATTTATAATTCCCACTCGCCTCCCCTCCACTGGTTTCGGCTTGAGGGGGCGTGTCGTTGTTTATAGTAGCTTTTTTATCTCCGTGTTTGGCGGGAAGGGCGTTTGTGGATTTTAATACTGGTATCCATGTTTTGTTGATTTTTAGTCCTTCTTCTATCCTATTGAAATTGTTTGGGTGCTTGTATATTTCCACCGCTTCCCGATATAACCGTGGGTAGTACTGTGAAGTTTTGTCCAGCATCTGTGTTTCTTCAAATAGTATTCGATGTTCTCCGCTTCCCAAAGCGTGTTCGGCAAACGGCAGATTTGTCGATATGTCCTAAACGACAATGGCTTTTATGTTCATTTATCCTGGTGTTGGTGTGTCTTTTTGTGGTTCCCACATATACCATTCCACATGTGCATGGTATTCGGTATACTCCGGCCGTTGCTAATGGGTCGCGTTTGTCTTTTACCGATCTTAAACAATCCTTGATCTTCTTTGTAGGTCTGAAGATGGTCTTTATGTTGGCTTTCTTGAGTATTCGTCCAATTCTGTCCGTTACCCCCGATATATAGGGCAAGAACGCTTTCCCTTTACATTCTGTTTCTTCGTCCCTTCTTCTAGATACGTTGTTCATCGCCTTGTGTATTTCTCTTCTGGTGTACCCATTAGAGGTGAGCGCTTTTTCAATATAAAGAAGTTCACTTTGGAGATGTTGTGGTTCACAAATTCTCTTCGCCCTCTCTGCCAAAGTTTTGATGATACCTTGTTTTTGGCTAGGATGATGATTTGAGTTCCTGTTTAGGTATCTGTCTGTGTGTGTAGGTTTTCGATACACTTTATGTCCTAAGTTACCTTCCTTTCGATTTACTAATACATCCAGGAACGCTAGTTGTTGAGCTTTTTCTGTTTCCATCGTAAATTGAATATTTGGATGTAGTGTATTTATATAAGCCAGGAAATCGTTTAGTTTTTCTGCTCCGTGACCCCAAATCACAAAGGTGTCATCAAGGGTATGGTTCAGATACGTTGATGACACCTTTGTGATTTGGGGTCACGGAGCAGAAAAACTAAACGATTTCCTGGCTTATATAAATACACTACATCCAAATATTCAATTTACGATGGAAACAGAAAAAGCTCAACAACTAGCGTTCCTGGATGTATTAGTAAATCGAAAGGAAGGTCACTTAGGACATAAAGTGTATCGAAAACCTACACACACAGACAGATACCTAAACAGGAACTCAAATCATCATCCTAGCCAAAAACAAGGTATCATCAAAACTTTGGCAGAGAGGGCGAAGAGAATTTGTGAACCACAACATCTCCAAAGTGAACTTCTTTATATTGAAAAAGCGCTCACCTCTAATGGGTACACCAGAAGAGAAATACACAAGGCGATGAACAACGTATCTAGAAGAAGGGACGAAGAAACAGAATGTAAAGGGAAAGCGTTCTTGCCCTATATATCGGGGGTAACGGACAGAATTGGACGAATACTCAAGAAAGCCAACATAAAGACCATCTTCAGACCTACAAAGAAGATCAAGGATTGTTTAAGATCGGTAAAAGACAAACGCGACCCATTAGCAACGGCCGGAGTATACCGAATACCATGCACATGTGGAATGGTATATGTGGGAACCACAAAAAGACACACCAACACCAGGATAAATGAACATAAAAGCCATTGTCGTTTAGGACATATCGACAAATCTGCCGTTGCCGAACACGCTTTGGGAAGCGGAGAACATCGAATACTATTTGAAGAAACACAGATGCTGGACAAAACTTCACAGTACTACCCACGGTTATATCGGGAAGCGGTGGAAATATACAAGCACCCAAACAATTTCAATAGGATAGAAGAAGGACTAAAAATCAACAAAACATGGATACCAGTATTAAAATCCACAAACGCCCTTCCCGCCAAACACGGAGATAGAAAAGCTACTATAAACAACGACACGCCCCCTCAAGCCGAAACCAGTGGAGGGGAGGCGAGTGGGAATTATAAATATTGCCTCCGTAGTACAACGCGTCGTCAGTTTCTGCTTACAAGCGAAGCATCAACATCTCCAGAAGATGCCAACCCCTAGTGTTGGCGAAACGTCGAGAACTAATCTCAACAAAAGACAACGGCCCAACAGCCCGAATAAACAGTTTAATAAGTTAGACGATGGCCGTGAAAGCCTAACGCAATTTATCCTTCTTGTTTTATTGGCATATTGTCATTCCAACTCTTTTTAGATCCCCCATGTTTCTTTTTCCGATAGATAACTTTTTTATGGCTGTTCAGATATTTTGCTAAGGTAACTATTCCATTCTTCTTTTAAAATTGTGCCCAGTTATTTATGTTTTGTACTAGCTGAACTGGCAAGCTTCGTACTGGCTTAGAATTAAATAATACGTCAAAGTTTTACTAAGTGTAGTCCGGAGTCCATACTATATGTCATTTGGCAAAATTCTACAATATTTAGCACCCAATGTAAATGATCCATATATAACATTTAATTAAGCTTCACTACTACAGTGTTATTCATTATTAAAATTATTTTTGTAGGCAGCATATACAGGAGCCAGCATGAATCCTGCTAGAAGTTTTGGGCCTGCTGTATGGTCATCAGATTATAAATCTCACTGGGTAGGTATATACATACATTCATATAACATAAATTGCTAGTTTTGTTATTGGTTTAGGATGTTGAATTTTCGGTGACATGTAAAAAGGCTGTCTCAAAATACGATCAAAACTAAATGTGGTGATTGTGACTATACTATACATTCTACTGCTTATAAAAACAAGACTGTCGATCAAAAACGTCCTAACATACGTTTTTATCTCCTTTTAGCTGCCAAACCATCCTTAATTATGAATCCCCCGAGAACTAATACTTTCTACTTACAAATACTGCAAACTTTTTATACCGTCAATTAATTTACTCAGAATTCAAATATTAGCGCTGTTCTCCCTTTTATTTACATGATTTCTCATAAATTAAAATTTTCTTTCAGCGTTCAAAAAAAACTACCAGCAGTATATTTCTTCTCCTGGATTCGATGTTCTCTTGCTTAAAGTCCAACAGTAGATACCGATTCCTTCGGCTTCCAAACATTTCCTTCAATATGAAAATATTTTCCATAATTTCTTTTTAACTAATCAAACCGTTCTCTCTTCCCATTCAAAACAAAAAATCCCACTTCTCATCTACTTTCAAATTCCATAATTGTGTCCAAAACATACGAGACAAAAGAAACCTTTTGCCTTTAATGACCTGTTTTGTTGATAATTTTTCGACTGTTCTAACAACCATTCAAATATCGTCATTTTGTGTCATGTGGAACAATTTCACCCAATCATATCAACATTAGACTGATAATTGCATTCAGTTCAATTTTCAATCCCTATGACACGATCGAGTTTGACAACTTTATCCAAATAAATTTCAAAATGTCACGTTTCGGCAATGAGAATGTTCAAAGTATAAATGCGCTAATCAAAGAAAAAATTCCCAGAAATACAACCTACAGTCACAAATATATTTGGGGAATATTTTTTCGAAAAATTATCCGCCAAATATCCCTCGGACATTGATGAATCCCTCATAATTTCATGAAAAATTTCTCAAGCTCGTTGCTTGGTAACAGTACTCAGCCTTCGGCTTCGTGCTGTAACCAATGAACGAGCTTTCGATTGTCATGAAATTATCTCCTCTGTTATCAATGTCCTGGGGATATTACTACTGATAACAAAAATTAATCCTTAAGAAACAGGAAAACAGATTTCTCATTAGGTTATTTCAACGAAACATATTCTATTCATTTATTACTTAAAACTAATATCTTTAAAATACTAATTCACATAATTCGGAAAGTCTATAGCATTTTACATAAACACATAAACCGTATATCTATAATATATTATAATGAATGAATAATTTTTTTATACAATCTTCTTTATATAACGTTCTTGATATTTGGGCACATCAGTTTTTCAATGTATTTTCTAACGAAAAGGCACCGTCATTTTATTGTTATTTTAATTGATGCTCATCAATTAAATCAAAGACTTGTAGCTTTTAACAACATTACACCACAATTGTATAACAAAGCAATACAATGCCATTGAAGGAGTTCTTAAAAGAAGCAAGCAATTAAATGAGAAAACCGATTCATTTGCATCACAAATAATGAATAATTTATTGACATGAACAGAAAGATTAGCCAGTCATGAAATGGAAAATAGGATTTTCAAGTTATTAATAGTCTAAAATTTTTTACAATTAATTTTAAAGAAATGAAAAACAAAAACTCGCGTAGTGATACTACAATTCACGCACAAATATTGTCATCTTTCACTCGTACGACTTCATTAAAACTTTATCCCCTATTTCTTGGTGACTTTTTTTAATTAATTAATTTTTATCTTCAACGAATGCTGGATTTGCTGGGTTTTAATCATTCTATGAATATATTACGTAACTGATGAACTAGAAACTCAATATGTGAGAGTTTAATCGGCAAACAAGACACTTTTTGCGATCAAACTACATGAAGTATCATCCTCAACAATATTCTAGAATACTTATCGAGACCTTGCACTGAAATTAAAGAAAATATCAAGTATTATTTTTAACACATACACAACCTGAGTCGTATCCAATCAATACAGTTATATTAGAAAAAAGAAAACTGCGAAAGAGATGGCAGCTCATTAGGCATACTTACTTCTTCTTCTTCTTCTTCTGGTAGCACTACAACCCGGGGTGGGTCTTGGCTGACTGCACAACCTGCTTCCATCTCGAACGGTCGTCCATGATGTTTAAGTCAGTGGGTAGCCCCATTGTTCTCAAATCTGACCATATATTATCTCTCCATCGCATTCGTGGACGTCCTAAGAGCCTTCTCCCTGTCGGGACTTCTTCCCAGATTAACTTGGTAAGGCGGTTATTAGGGAGCCTATAAACATGGCCAGCCCATCTTAGACGTTGGGATTTAATCTCTTGGACTACGTCGCTAGCACTATACATTTGTTTGACCTCGGCATTTGTTCTCATTCGGTATTGGTTAGTATTCGGATCGTGATAGGGACCGAAGATCTTTCTGAGGATTTTTCTCTCAAAGCATCTGAGTTTACTTTCCATTGCTTTTTGATGTTCGTGTTAGGCTCTTGGATTTAATAGTGTTGTGTAGGCTATACATACATCTGTTTGCTGCCTGAATTCTCCCTTTTATCTCTTCCGTGATATTTAAAACTCTCCACTCTTTCAAAGTTATAGGGGTCTATTGTTACATTTTGTCCTATTCTATCTCGTCTCTTTTGTCTGTTAATGCACATATATTTGGTTTTCTCTTCATTGACCCTTAGACCGGTATTTTTTGCCTCTCTCTCTCTCTCTAATTTATTGAAGGTTTCTTTTACATTGGTGACGGTATTTCCTACAATGTCAATGACTTACTTACTTACTCCGTGGCTTTACAACCTTTCGTGGGTTTTAGCCGACTCGACAACATGGCTCCACTGTTTTATGTCTAGAGCAACCTCCATCCAATTCTCCACGCCGATAGTGCGTAGGTCTCCTGCTACATTATCTCGCCACCGGAGACGAGGGCGTCCGCGTGGTCTTCTTCCAGTTGGGACTTCCTCCCACATCAGTCTTACTGTTCGTTCGTCAGAATGTCTTCTGAGGTGTCTGACTTTATTTCTTTTATGATGTTGCCGTTTGGGTAAAGTTCTTCAAGTTTTTTGTTGGTTCTTATCCTATATTGTCCTGATGCTTCATCCAGCGCAGGACCAAAGATCTTCCTTAGGATTTTTCTTTCCCAAACACATAGTCTCTCTTCGTTTGCCTTTGTTATCGTTCACGTTTCGCTTCCATACATCACAACAGGTCGTATGATTGTTTTATAGACCTGTATCTTCGTACGTCGTGTTAGTTGTTTTGATTTTATAAAGTTTTAGAGGGCAAAAAGACATCTGTTGCCGGCCTGAATCCTGTTGTTTATTTCTTGTGATCCGTTACTGTCTTCAGTTATTGTTGTTCCAAGAAACTTGAATTCTCTAATGCGCTCAAAGTTAAAGTCATCGATGGTGATGTTCTGACCGATTCTGTCTCTGCTTTGGTTATTGCGGCTCATACACATATATTTCGTCTTGTTTTCGTTGATTTGGAGCCCCATCTTCTCTGTTTCCTTCTCGAACCTAATGAAAGTCTCCTTCATCCTTAATCGTATGTTTCCTATTAGATCGATATCGTCTGCAAATGCCAGTAGTAAGTTTTGGTCCTTCTCGATGAAATATTGTATCAGGTTTTTCGATTCTTGCACTTCTGATTATGTGCTCCAGAGCTATGTTGAAGAGTTGTGGTGAAAGTGCATCTCCTTATTTTAGTCCATTGTTTATTTCAAATGTCTCCGAGTATTGTTGTCCAACTCTCACCTTACATCATAACCATTCCATACACATCCGTATTAACCTGACTAGTTTTTTTGGAAAGCCAAGTTCCTGCATCGCTGTCCACAGTCTGTCCCTGCATACTGTATCAAACGCTTGTTTAAAATCTATGAACATCTGATGAAGCTCACGATCAAACTCACAGCATTTTTCCATTATCTGTTTTATTTTGAATATCTGTATATGCTCATTAGGCATCTTGAAGATAAAACAAATATGAAATAGAGCTTGTAGACTACTCAAAAGTGAACTTACTCAACATAAATATAACGGAATTGACAATTATTTAAAGAACTTCCATCTGAAGATGATACCAACTACTCTTTGTGGAAACTAACAAACAAGCTTAACACAACGAACAAATTAATATGCCAATAAGGAAACAAAATTGTACTTGAGCTAAAAACTGACATATTATACATAAAGCATAAATATATTTTTGCAAATTATCTTTGAGATGTGTTTCAATCGCATTAGATGGAAGTCTTAATTGGAGAAGAAATATTCTTCAATTGAACTAAGAACAATTAAACCTTTTAAACAAATCTGAAATCAAAGAAATAATTGATAATCTGCAAATTAATGTCATTTGTCATCTGGATATGATATAATATCTATAAGAAGCCACAGTTAGAACAGTGTCTTATGGCGGACAGCGATGTCGCTCATGTCAGAACAGTGGTAGGTGTGTGGTAGTTATAGACTGAGACTCATAGACTCATAGACTGAGAAATCAGGATCGTACGCGTTTCGTTTCAAAAATCTTTATTCATTGAGTTAAATAAGAAAATAAACAAAAAAAAAAATTAATTCCATAAAAAATGTTTGTATAGATAAAATATCTAATACCTCGTAAATAATTATATATATAACTGTAGAAGACACAAGATCATAACTGAAATGTATTGTACGTACAGTACTAAAAAAACAAATGAGCATTAAGATATTTCTCGTTAATTAATACTAATCGCAATCCATATCTAAATCGTCTTCATCCTCTAAATCATCTCCTATATTAATTATCTCCGGTTCAATATCGTCCTGCAAATTGTCCACCGCAAACATTTTTTCTTTTATTTGCTTGACGTGGTTCACATTATTATGCCACTGCTCTTTAGATACGCGTTGGTAAGCTTCTTTTATCAGCCGTTCTACCGTTTTTTTCTTTAAAATCGACGTTGTTTGAAATCACATACTTTTTCACTTGACTCCACACCATCTCAATCGGATTCAGCTCGCAATGGTAAGGTGGCAGTCTCAAAATCTTAACACCATATTTTTCGCAATTGTTTTAAATTTTGTACTTGTACTCATTTCTAAATGCGGCCGCAGTATCCAGTACTTTACTTTTTAGGTAATCTTCCTCGAAGAAAATGTTCTTTTCGATTAGCTAATACTTGATTTGCCTTTTGTTCGACACTTTTTTCGGGAAATCAAAATTTGCGGGAGTGGTATGATGCGTTATCCAAAACAACAACGTTTTCTTTATCTTTCAGCAAGCTTGGAATTAACGTCTTCTCAAACCATTCTTCATATAAATTCCTGTCAATTTCGTCGTGGTAATCAGCGGTTCCCTTCTTGGCCAAGAAAGTCAATTCAGCACATGCCACAAAACCAGTTTCGCTTCCAGCATAAAGAAGAACAAACCGAGGACCTTTTTGGATTGGAGCTTTCAGTCCAGTAGAGAGCCCTTTTATGAAGGCATCTCGTGGATTATTGATCGTTGTGTCCCTTCATTCCTTTTTGACTGAAGTATTGACGTTCATCCCAAAACTCATCGGTATAAACAAGGTTTGCATTATCCTTCTCCTTCAATGTTTTTATTTGTCTGAGGTACTTGTGTCTCCAGTATATGATATATTTTCTTTCAATCATTATCGGATCTCTTACTATACGGTTCATTAAGCTGTCGACGGTTGGTGGTATGTTTTCCAAAATACTATAGTTTGGTACTAAAGGATTTACCACATGAAGGCGTAAGTCTAAGTACTTATATATTAAAATCTGGTTACTTTCCCCTCAATGGAAAGTTTCCATTAAGGGGAATTCCAAATTGATATTATTCCAAAACCAAATATGGACCACGCGGAAATGTCTTTATATCGTCCAATTAAGTTGTTCTCAATTCTTGTATACTCTGTCTATTTTAAATGATAGTCATGTTTTACAAGCTATCAGTTTTGTTTTAGGAAACAAAATGGTACCACTTAGCCAATTCATAGGGTTGTAAAAACTCTCGCAAAGCAGAAATTTGCTGGAAAACAAAAGTTACTTGTCAGCAGTTTAATAAAGCATACATTCCACTACCAGTTACTAACTTGGTTAAATACCTGGGAATGCATTTGGACAGCAAACTAAATTATCAACATTAAGAATAATCTCCTTCAACTTAGCTTAATCTACAGGAAAGCATTGGTACATGAGTCGAAAATCAAATCTTAGCCTACTGAATAAACTTTTCATTTATAAATGATTCTAATCAGAAGTGCTGCGCCAGATCTGCAACGCTCCTTGGTATATTACGAACCAGAGTTTACACCACGATCTACAGGTACCAACAGGTAGCGAAACTATTAGAACTGTAAGCTCTACATACAAGACCAGACCATCTTGTCATCCAAATCGGCTCGTCGTCCATCTGCTTAACATTTTACATGGTAGAAAATTAAAAAGACCTCTTTGGATCGCTAGTAAATCTAGGGGAACAGAGTTTAATGTGATAAGTGTGATGAAATAACAAGTTTAAATCAGCTGTTTTCTTTTTCAAACGTTTCTAGTATTTTTGTACTTATAATATTTATTGTTAATACTGTTTATTTATGTTAGGTTTAAAAACTAATTTCTATGTCACAGATTAGAGTTAAACTATTACATGTTTTATTTCGGTTCTCGTCACTGAACGACTTCCCACTATGACATATTGCATAAATTATTCATATTGCTTCTAATGGGACAGATTGCAATAAATATTGGATGTTCAACACATCAAAAATCGATGTAGGATACATAATTTTCCTGTATTGCTTTTATTAAAAATGCATTAGATTTAAGTACTTAAAATAAATGTAAATTATTTACAAGAAATACATTAATTATATTTATTTTTTAGATATATTGGGCAGCCCCTACAATAGGATCGTTGGTTGCAAGTTACGCCTACAAATACGTGTTTTTGGAGAGAAATGAGTAGACAAATACTAGAAGATGTTCTTCCTCAGTATTTATTGTTTATTTTATTGTTGTCTCAGAATCTCTGAGTTTATTTTTAACCTGAGTTTAATCAGTATTAATATTTTAGTTGTATTTATAAAAATGGGTATATTGTTTTTGTTGTACGAAACACCTGTTTTGTAGATTAACTCTTACTAAAGGAGATTTATAAAAACCTAATATTTGGAGTAAAAATTTAAAATTGTATTTTTATTTTTATTCTGAATGAATGTACCTACTCTCAAAAACGTAAGAATATAGCACATCATATTCCATAATAGCAATTTAAGTAGTATAGCAAAAATAATGAGAGTATTATGCATGGCCCGAGCAATGCTAAGGTGTGGTGCTAGTAGTTTTGTTGTAATCATCGAGTAAAAAGACAAAAGAGGGAATCTAATCGTTATAAAAAGGAGACCAAAAAAGTGGCCTCTGATGGCGGACATATCCGGAAATGCAAAGGCGCAAAATTTAAATTTTCCGACACTTAATAAGAATAGCTATAAAATATTTTTCATACGAGAAAGTTTTAATTAAATATTAACGATAATAGTCTAAAATGTGACACAATTGGTAAAAAACTTAAATAGAAATAAAATTTCATGTGACAGTTGGGACAAACAATAACCTAACCAAACTAAATTTGATTTCTTAAACAAGGAAAGAGACTGTCTTTCCTTGTTTAAAGTGGCCTCTTAAGATGGCACTTCCTGTCTAACAATTCTTTTGTCTTTTTGCTCGATGGTTGTAATGTGCACCATTATTCCATTCCAACTCTACGAATTCGGCAGCTTATCTATAATACCGAAAATTCAATAGATTATCAATACCGAAAAGACCTAATTTTCTACCGATTTCCATTTTTCCGTAAATTTGGTACCTTTTCCTCTTAAGTTACAAAAATACATTTTACGAGAAATCACCCTATATTTGAAACTGAATCGATTTAAAAAAGCTGAATGTTCCCTTATTAAAATCATTTAAAACCGAGTTGTATTTTAAGGTAATCAGATCAATGCATATTTTATCTCGTTAATATAGTTTTGCTTATATTAACAGATGGATTGCAATATAGTAATGTTTCTATTAGATACAGTTTTTTTTTAATTTGTTTGTTTAAATATAAGTATTTAGTAGAAAATTACTTAAATATATTTTGAATTTGTCGCCAAATGTTTTACTTCATGGCCCAAATAGGTGTGGCGCTAGAAACTCACCCCTAATGGACCGCAGGAGTGTGACGTCACATTGTCATTATTACTTTCCAAACAAACGTTGAAATGTCAAATCTCAAGACTTTTTAATTCCTATAAAGTTAACATTGTGCTTCCTCTGCTGCTTTTTCTTGTAAGTATAGTGTTTTTACGATAATACCGTCATAATTCAGAGTTCTATTTCTATGAAATATGGTTTAAAAGTTTAATTAAAGAAATTTTAACCTTACTTTATTGATACTTTCATTTTATTCCTATTAGCATAAAACAATGTGCTTTATTATTAACACAACCTTGTAAAATTGTTGTAGTAACTATTAGAATACTTAAATATTGCAAAAAGCGGAAAGATTCTATAAAATAAATGAAAAAATAACGAAAAATAGAAATTATCCACACTAAACAACGTTTGTTTGGAAAGTGAAACTGGCAGATGTCAATCAAATCTACGTCATCACTCCTGTGGTCCATTTTTATTATAGGAGATACCCAATACCATGCTATAGAGGTGTGCTGTGAACTAGTGTCAATCCGAAAGTAAAAGATATCTAGCTTCTTATACTTCATCTAATTTACATATCGATGCACGTCATTATCTACGTCAGAGATCGAAGTTGACATAGTTGCCAAAGTATAAAAAATCCTGACTCCATTTTAAATCAAATAGATCACATAATTATTGCAAAAGTATTACCATCTCTTTACAACGACTATTTAAATTCTTACGTGACATTTTTGAAATAAAACACACTAATTTTGTTCTAAAAGAACAGATTTTCTTAAATAGGTAAAAATATAAAACAAGAGGTATTCACTTTAAAATTCAAAATAATAAAGTACAAAAAGTGTCAACACCGCAACTGTCAAATAAGTGTTACAAATTTATGCCAAAATTTCACCTTCGTTCCATTACAGTTATAGTGTGTTCCGAACAAATGTTCTTCATAAAAACGCTTTAAAATGCATTTATACAAATTAAATGAAACATATTATTGTGTATTTCTTTAAGTTAAAATTAATAGAAATTTTTAAATATTATTTCTACGTGTATATAATAAAATATGTCTAGTGGCTGTAATGCCAGTGTACTCGGAAAAGTGATTCTAAAAAAGAACACACCTATCGCCTAAATATTTCGTGTTGGTATCATGTGACGTCACGGGATATGACGCCGATGACATGCATCGGTATGTAAATTAGATGAAGTGTAGATCATTTTAATAAACTTTAAATTTCTTTAGTAATATTATGTGAGTTTTTTTTAATAAAATAAATCATTATTAAAATACTTGAAAACAATTGAATAATTAAAAATACTATGGAAAATGTAACAAATTGCTCCCGAGAAATATAAATGTGTACTTTTTTATTCTCCATAAGATCTTTTCCTGATATACTTTTTTTCTCGTTCTTTTTTATTGTAGATAGGTAAAATCTCAAACGTATTCTTATATTTAAGAAGCTTTACGTTTCGAATTACGTATCGTTTGGACTTTTGTCTTGGTCAACAAATCGATTTTTTGTCAGAAATTCACATCATCTCTTTCCAAGAGCCTCTACACTATCTTGTACGAGATAAAAGGCGATGCAACTTTCTAGTTTTTTTTTATTTTTAATTTTGATTACTAAAGTAGATGTCTTGGGAGAAAATGATTCTTTATACATATTTCACATAACTATAAAATTGTTTGTCTCTGGGAACTAGGGCACATTATGTAAAATCTTATGAGTGGATCACTGGATAGATGGTGAGGCAGAACACGCTATAAATAATGCTAAAATTAGAAAAGTTTGTGGTCCAGATGATACACCAAATGAGTTGATGAAACTAATAGAGAATGATAACATAAAAGTAGTGCCTAACATCCTATTATAAAGATGCCGTGACCAAAGAAAATATGTATTTGCATGTTTCGTGGCATTCGATAAGTACAGCATGTAAAATTAATGCAAATACTGAAAAATATCGGAATAGATGACAAGGATATTCGTGTCATTAAAAATTTGTACTGGAATCAAACTGCTGTCGTAAAAATTGGAGATATCTACACCGATGAAATCTCTATACAACGAGGAGTCAGACAAAGTTGCATTTTATCGCCAACATTGTTCAATCTTTATTCGGACCAGTTCTTTAAAAAGGACTTGAGAGACAACCGTATGGAATAAAAATCAACGGGGAACTACTTAATGAGATTAGATATGCAGACGATACAGTAATTCTATCAGATAATATTGAAGGTCTTTAAATTCTGCTTGATCGTATTTAAGAGGTAGGAGAGGAAATGGGCATTAAAATAAACTCAAACAAAACCAAATTTTAGTGTTTAGTCGTGACCCACATCCCGATGCAAAGCTTCAATTAAACGGAGTCCAAATTGAGAAGTTCACAAAATGACATATTTGGGAACTGCGATTAGACAACTAGACCTAGACATAGAAATAAAACGTAGAATAGCAATGACTAAAAACTACTTTTATGAAAATGAATTCATTTGCTTGCAATAACCATCTCAGTTTCGAACTAAGACAAAGAATGATTAAGTGCTATATTTGGTCCGTACTTTTGTATAGTGCAGAAGTGTGGACGCTAAAAATATCGATCATGAGCAAAATTGAAGAATTGGAAATGTGGGTTCATAGACGAATGCTGAAGATACCTTGGACAGGAGGAAAACTAATGAAGAAGTCTTGGAGCGTCAAAAAGATAGAGAACTGCTAAATACTGTTAAACATCGAAAAATGTCTTATCTGGTACATATAGTAAGGGAAGTCGATATAAAATATTACAACTGATCCTTAAAGGCAAAATAGAATATGTTAGGATTATCTGTTAATTTGTATTCCTATTTTCGAAACTTACTAATTTCTTTTGTTTTCGTTAAGTGCCTGATAAATATTATTTATTACATACCATGGGGAATTTGTAATAATCCGAAGAACTTTTTACTGGAATCTCTCCAATATTTCAATATTGGGAGTTTGATGCAGTTACCCAAAGTTCTATTCCGTAACTTCAGATAAGATTTAGTACTGCTTTGCAGACAATCACTTTATTCTTTAACGAAAGTGACGATTTTTGAACATGATGAACATACAATCTCTGATACATATTGCAAGAAATAGAGAATTAATGGAAAATGTGATCGCTAACATCCATTAGTGGATTTGCATCTGAAGAAGAAGAAGACGATTTTTGGCCAATTAGCTATTATAGGTTGTGTAATTTGAGACCAAGTTGTTTGCGTTTCATGAAAATGTTTGTCTTCCAGTTTAATTTTTCTTAAATTCCAAGGTATTTAGACGATTCAAGACAGTTTATTGTTGCTGTAGCTGATGAATGTTGAAAAATACTGACGGGCCTTTTGTGGTTCACAAAAATAATAAGAACCGACTTTGATTAATTTGTTTGAAAACGTCATCACTTTAGCTAAACTTGCATTTTTTTGCGACTAGTTGTAGTTTAGAAACTGTTCGTGGGTCCTGATGCAGTGACATCATCGCTGTGTCGTCTGCGTAAGTAGCTGTCGTGGTATGATTGTTTGTTGGTAAGTCCGCTGTGTATAATAAGTATAACACTGGCCCCAAGACACTGCCCTGGGCAACACCGGATTCAACTGGGTATACTGAGATGTTCTCATCCCTATACTGTACAGATAAGCAAGGATCATATAGGTAGGATCAAGATTTTAGAACTAAGAATTGAGGGGAAGCTTTTTTCTTAATAATTTGTATAGTAGGCCTGAGTGTCACAGTTTCTATTAAATTAAGATGATTTTCGAGCATTTTCTACAAGTGTGTTAACTTTCTTTTGTGTTAAAAAAATCGGTTTTTTAATTCTGGAATAATTAATGTAATGTAATATTCTTTAGAAAATTTTATAATTGCCTGCAACATTTTTAAATGTGAATAA